ATATACACTATATATATATATATATATATATATATATATATATATATATATGCATATACGAATGCATACATGTATATATAAATATAGATATGTGCATTTGCTCATTTGTTCCTCTCTAATATGTATGTTTGTTTTTTTCTGAATTATCTTTTTGGTTGTTTGTTTTTTTTCTTGTTATTTACTATTTGTTTATTTCTTTGTCACTCATTTTCCGTGTGTGTCTCTGTTCTTTGTTGTTTGTTTACATCTCCATAATTATATTTTATTTTGTTTCTTTCTCATCACTTTGGGTTTTAGTTTCTCTCTTCCCCGCTTGCTAGATTGTCCCCTTTTGATGATGTTGTTGTTTGTTTTTTACCATAAAAATTATGTATGTACATATATATATATATATATATATATATATATATATATATATATATATATATATATATATATATATATATGCATTCTTATTATTTACTATTATTCATATGATTATGCGCAATAAAAACAGAGAAAAATACACATATAAATTATTATTTATTATAACTATCACTACTATCATTATTATTATTATTATTATTATTTTTATTATTAAAATTATATTATTAATATTTTTTTTTTTTTATGTACAGGCCCTGTGGATGGTGTGTTATCGGAGGTGATTCGCGGGAGTGGTGACGGTACAGGAAAAGTATATTTGGGTGTATTAGATGTGGGGCGTGTAGTGTTGGTGATAAATATAAGAAATAAGAGACAAGGAATAGAAGAAGAAGAGCAGCCCCATAGTGAATTGATTCGTGGTGTATTAGCTATAATAAAAACAAGTCCTTATATAAGTGATGCAAATCTTATTTTTGCTTCTGAAATACACCAAAGTCTATGCGGTCCCCTTGTTGTTCTTATCTCCGATATTTTACAAACTTATATTGGCCAAGCAATCAAACAAATATTTCAACTTCTTGGGGCTGTTGACCTTCTAGGAAATCCTGTTATTATGTGTAAACACTGGAGAGCCGGAGCAAGAGGATGTTTCTATGTAAGTATACAACACGCCTAATGCATGCATGCAACCATGCATGCAGTACACTGCATGCAGTACAGTGCATGCAGAACAGTGCATGCAGAACAGTGCATGCAGTGCAGTGCATGCAGCACGGTGCATGCAGTACAGTGCATACAGTGCTGTGCACTGCATGGAATGCATGCGGTGCAGATAACAGCTATGGTATGATATTTTAGTCTCCTGTTCTTTCTTGTCTCCTCGTTGTTCGTGTATATGTATATGTCTTCTTTCCTTTTGCTTTTTGTTTCCTTTGATCTGTCTTTCTCTCTTAATTTGTATCTGTGTGCATTTATCTCTGTGTGTGTATCTATGTGTATGTATGTGTATGTGTTTATGTATATATATATATATATATATATNTATATATATATATATATATATATTTGTGTGTGTGTGTGTGTGTATGTGTGTATGTATATGTATGTGTGTGTGTGTGTGTGTATTATATTTTCAGGAGATCCGTCGTGGTTTAGCGTTATGGGGTACTCCAGGTTTTGCATGCATATCATTTGGGCGTGGTTTTGCTCGGTGTGGCAGTGGTTTTATTGGGGGTTTATTAGATTCTTCGGGTCGTTTCTTTGGTTCTTGGTTTCAATGCTTCGAAGCATTAGCTAGAAATGCTGATATTTATTCTGTATTACCTTTTGCTCAAGGGCAAGGGGGTATTGCTGATCAACCAGGAAGTATTGCAGAAGGACTTGTGTAAGAACTATATATATATATATATATATATATATATATATATATATATATATATATATATATATATATATATA